TTATAGTAAAAGTTTGGAAATTTTAAGGTGAGGTGCAGGAGTATCAAAAATGTATGTTTTGTGCCGGTAGCAATTCTATTCTGATGCACGTGCACTGAAAAAAAAATTTTTTTATATAAATCATTAAATTTAATTTTATTTCTTCCCCCGCTGCCATCATTATAAATTATTTTACTGCATAATAAATGTATGTGTATTTTTATAGAATAATAAATTCATATTTAAATATGATGTTTCGTTAAGAGCATAAGAACATCTACTTTATTACATAAAAAAAAAAAAATTAATGAACTAATGAACGATGACAAAGATTGATAGTGTTTACATTTTCTTTAGAAAAATTAGTGAATAATGGCCGTAAAAAAAGCAAAAAAATCAGCCGAATCTATTAATTCTCGCCTACAACTTGTTATGAAAAGTGGAAAATACACTTTAGGGTATAAATCTACACTTAAAACTTTACGCCAAGGCAAAGGTTCGTGATTAAGATGTCACTTCAAAGCCAACTCATTGATATGATCTACACAAATATAAAAAGGGGCAGGAGCCAAATTTATGTTGTGTTCTTGGCAAAGATAATCCCTTTTTATTTTGTTATAGTACTAACCCGAACTTTATTATTGGATGGATTTTTTTTGATATGAATTACATTAGCCAAACTTGTTATCATTTCTGGCAATTGTCCACCTTTGAGAAAGCATGAATTGGAATATTATGCAATGCTTTCAAAAACTTCAGTACACCACTATGCTGGCAGTAAGTACCTAATCCTTCCAAAAATGCGTTAATCCCTTCGTTAACAAAATTATATTCGAATTCAATAGACAACATTGACCTTGGTACTGCTTGTGGTAAATATTTCCGTGTTGGGGTTTTAAGTATCACAGATGCAGGTAACTTATAATACGATTCTATCTGCTAGAATATATTACATTTTTCGATATTAGTACGTAATGGTAACAAATTACATCTTTTATAGGTGACTCGGATATTCTTTCTAGTTCTTCCACTTAGAGTAAAAACACAATTTTTAGTTAGTCATAAGCCTCTTTTACTATATGGTTTCTTACTATTTTCATTATTCGAGTATACAAATGTGTTATGAATGGTAAAAATCATCAAAAATAAAGTAAAGGCTCATTCTATCAGTGTACGAGTATTCTGTTTTCAGTTATCATCATAAAAGGAACCAATAGCAACTTCAACACAATGCTTATAATTTCAACTTTTTCTTGGTGTTACCATCTTCATCTTCGTTCTTATCTTCGTTCTCGTCTTCGTTTCCATCTTCGTTCTCGTCTTCGTTTCCATCTTTGTCCTCGTCTTCGTTTCCATTTTCATTATCTTCGTTCTTGTTCTCATCCTCATTTTCGTCTTCATCTTTGTCTAACGGCATAAAACATGTTCCGAGTGGCGGTTGTCCTTCCATCCTCTTGAAAACGTACTTGTACACCTTATAACCACTTTTTCCTATACTTTCCCACCATTTTTCAACTGTGTAAAGGCCGTCATACCTATACCTGATAATCGCAAAATGTAATATGTAGATCAGATTTTCAGTTCAATTAAATTATAGCTGATATTTACGAATACTTGCCCTTCTTGTGGTGCATATTCATTGTTTAAACGGAAACCTCTTATTCAAATTGTGTATATATAATATTATTTATCATGTTATCAGAAGACTTAAAAAATATAATATACACTCACCGAATTACACGAATAGGTCTTTTTGTTTCGCAAGAGATCTTTAGAGCAAGATTACCCGCGACTAATTCTTGATCCTTCGACTACAAACATTAAAAACAATGCAACGGTAATGTTTTGAATTCATCAACATTAAAGATC